AACTCTTGGGCTACTCTTTTACCAACGAATAGTGGGATTGACAGTCACATTATAACGCCCCCGGCTGAAAGGGCGAGCATGTTTGGTGTGACGGGGATTCGAACCCGCGACCCTCAGATTGCGAGTCGAGCGCCCTAACCACCTGGCCATGCCGGGCCACTACTCACTGGTCGACCGTAAATTGAAGTGATAGACTAGCGGAAAATGAGCTAGTCAACGACACCTACTGTCAATCCTTTGGCTACTCTTATCTCACCGAAGAACGGAATCTGACCGTCACCCTAATTAAGCTTCGATGGCCTCAAAATTTTAAATGCTATAAATAATTTTGCGGGATGATACAGTGACGGGACACGAACAGGAGACCCTCAGAAGTGAGAGTAGTAACAATAAAATACTTTTCTGTTTTTTACAACAAATAGCTGAAAGTACTTAAGAATTTAATTAATTACCTTTTCAGTTATTTTTATTCATAATAGCACAAAATGTTCTGTTATTTCTATTGCTTGATCTTTTAGGCGTTCTTTGCGCACCTCTTCTTTGTTTTGTGTTAAAGTAGGCAGTCAAACTCATAACGATTTAACGCATCTGTTATGTATTTATTTCTCCAACCCAATAGCGTGAACTATATAGTGAGATATTCTCCCAATTGTATGTCTTGGTTTGTTGATATTATTTACTAAGTCAGTTGAATACTGTAAAAATATGGTAAAGAAAACTAAAAAAAACTGAAGCTGTTAAAGGTGTGGACTGAAAAATATATTTATTTCTTGTTTGAGAATTTCCACGCAAAGCAACATAAAGGGTACCTGTTCATAGCTTTACCTAATTCTTAACTAAAGAGACAACAACTTCTAAGCAGCACCCACCGCCAACTCTTGGGCAACTCTTGTCTGTCCGAAAAGTGAGGTCTGACCATTATTCTTAGAAAGCACATACAGCTACAAACAAAGTGTCGAAAATGTTTTTGATGCAATGAACCAGGAAACATGAACCCTGAAATCCTTGGTCAGAGCAGGCTAATCATTCGGCCAGCCTTAGATGAATATTTGAATACCTATTACAACTATTATTTTATAAAATTAGCAAAATATCACGAATGTTTATATCTAACTCCAGCCAGCCAACAATAAAAGATAAGGGAAATGCATATACAAAACAGTTTATTATTATTATATATCATACCTAGCGACATCTAGTGGTATCCTCTGTTATTTGAATACAGCTTATTTTCTGTCAAGTATTTATTCCTTTACATTTTATAAATTTAATAGGCTTTAAAGCCAAATATTTTAGTAAAGGTTTGAGGTACATTGAAAATAAGTCTTTCTTCTAGTAATCTGCTATAATATTTAGTTAATAGGATCTAACTAGTCCTGCCTGCTTAGTTTCAGATTATTTATTTGCAAAAATAACATAAATTATTACGTTTGGTACCGCAGCACCATCTCTTGGTAAAGAATATTAACTTTTTTACTCATATAAATATATATATATATATATATTTAAAATATGGTATTTTTGAAATCCGCAGACATTAAGCTATGTCACTGGGGAGGAGGGGGGGGGCGAAAGGTTAAGAGAGTTAGAAGAATATTGATAAATAAAAAGATAGAGGATTCTTTATTTTGGATTTTTTTTATTGTGGACCAAAGCTAACACAATGTTTTTTGCTCTTCCAAGCTATAAAACGTTTATCAAAGTAATTGCTAAAATGTTTAATGTAATTATAATTAAACAAACGGGCTAAACTATAATATCAATTGTTTTTCAAAAGCATAATTTTACTGTTTGATCATTGAAAGTTTAAAAACTTTGGTAGTTAACATAACATTTTGAGAGAACCTGGGACCTATTGGTCTATCTCGGCTGTTCCATCCGCTAAAAAAATCACAATCAATAAATTAAAAAAAATTAAAGCCAGTCCTTATCTTTCATATACTTATCAAGCTTTTTTTAAACTCACTTAAATTTATTGCTTCCACAACATCCAAAACAACTCATTCCAAAGGTCAACCACCCTGTTAGAAAAATAAAACTGTCTTAGCTGAAGCTGACTCCAACCTTGCCCAAATTTACATTTTTGTCCTCTAGTCTTAGTATTCTCACTATTAAACATAAAAAATATGATACATCAACACTATCAATTCGTTTTACAATCTTAAACACTGCAATCAGATTCCCCCTTAAGTATTTTTTTTTTCAAGAGAAAACAATTTGAGAGATTTCAGCCTCTCCTCGTATGACAACTCCTCCATCACAGGCACCATTCTAGTAACCCTTCTCTGAACCCTTTCCAACAATTTCAAGGTCCTAAGATTGAGCCCTGAGGTACCACACTTGTGATATTAATCCAGTTTGACTGAACTCCATTTGTAACAACCCTCTGCTTTCTTCCATCCAGCCACTTCTCTGTCCAATTTACTAACTTATCCCCCACATCCACAGAGATAATTTTTTACAAACCTTTTATATGGCACCTTACACAAATCTACACTCTTACCCTCATCTACATAAGCAGTAACCTTTTCAAAGAATGTTAAAGATTTGTAAGGCAAGATTTTCTCTTAGTGAAACCATGTTGACTATCCAATAAAATCATAAACTTTGTTAAATAACTTTGCAAAGCATATTTTAACAGACTTTCCAACACTTTTCCCACAACTGATGTAAGATTAATGGGTCTATAATTACTGGGACAATTTTTATCACCTCCCTTGAAAAGAGGAGTTACATTACCTAACTTCCAATCCTCTGGTACCTGCCCACTATTCAAGGACTGATAAAATATAGTAGCAAGTGGCTCACATATTCAATCTTTAACCTCTTTCAAAACCCTTGGGGAAATATTATCTAGCCCTGGAGCCTTATCATCTTTTAAACTTCCCAATTTTTTTCTGAATCAGCTCAGAATTAATGCAGTCATCTTGTTTGATCTTGTTTCCATTTATCAACTGATCAAGATGTGGAATACTGCTTAAATCTTCATTAGTAAAAACCAAAGAAAAAGTAAAATTTAATAACCCAGCCATCTCATAATCATCAGATATTATATTTTCTTTATCATCCCTCAAGGGTCCTATCCCTATCCTAACATTTTGTTTCACCTTAATGTATTTAAAGAAATTCTTACTGTTAATTTTTACATTTTCAGCCAACTTTTTCTCATACATCATTTTTGATGTCCTAATTTCCTATTTCATCAACTTTCTTGATCTTCTATAATCTTCTAAGTCTCCTGTCATACTGGTCAATTTAAATTTCTTAAATTTATGATGCTTTTCTCTAATTTTATTTTTTAAACTCTTTGTGAGCCAACCTAGTTTTCACTTGTAGCTACCCTTTTCTTTCTATTAGGAATATGTTTACATTGAATATTTAAAAATTTCCACATCTGATCAGTATCTCCAAACAACTCAGCTGCCCAATTCACAACAGATAACTCTTGTCACATCCCTTCAAATTCTGCTTTTTGAAATTGTAACCAAAATATCATTATTCCTTATGCAGCAAAACATTGAACCTAATACAGCAATGATCACTTGCACATAGATGTTCCCCAATTTCCACCATCTCAATCATTTCTGTATTTGAAGTTAACAATAAGTCTAAAATAGCATTGTTTCTAGTTGGTTCCTTGACTAACTGGCTATCCTTTCTCCCTTATGGTTTGAGTCTAGAATTTCCCAATCTATATGCCTGAAATTAAAATCACCCATAATTATGACTTCATTAACAGCTGAAATCTTAATCTTATTGTAAAGTTTCTCACTAATTTCATCAGTATCATTTGGTGGTCTGTAGTAAATTACCACTAAAAGCCTTTTACCTTTATATCCACTAATAGAAACCCAAATGGATTCAATCTCTTTGCTGTTATCTTTGATATCCTCAACTTCAACAGGATGTAACTCACATTTTAAGTATAAAGCCACTCCTCCTCCTCCCCTCTTTAATATTCTATCCCTATTAAATAGCCATGTTTCAGTTATTCCCATTATGTCAAAATCCTCTATTCCTACCAGTGCTTTATAGTCATCTATTTTATTTCTTATACTTCCAGCATTACAATAGTAACAATTAAGCCTTTCCTTATAACTACTTCTATACTAATTTCTTATGCTAAACTTTTCTCTGCCTCTTATTCTTTTTGCATTAGTTTTTCCTGGCCCTCACCACTGTTTAGTCCTAGTATGAAACTTCCCTTACAGCTGAGTTAATAGCCTTAGCAAACAAGCCAGCCCCTACTTTATTTAAATGTAAACCATCCATTGCAAAAAGCTCCCTTCTCCCACTGAACTGATCCCACAAGTCCAACCAGCCAATCTGCTCATCCTTACATACTAACCTAATTCTAGCATTTAGCCCTAATGACCTACTTATAACTTCATCCCCACAGTTAATTCTGGGCAGTATCCCTGACAAAATTAAGTCATGGCCGTTTTCTTTAAGTGCCTTTATCGACTCCTTATACTTATTAATTAGCTCCTCTGACCTAAATTTCCCTACATCATTAGCCCCTACATGCACTACAAAAACTGCATCTCTGCTAGTCCCCTTTGTTATATCTCTTGCTCTGTCAATTATATCCTCTACCTCTGCCCCTGGGTAGCATAATCTGATTCTTTTCTCATTATTTACCCCACAGACTATTCTATCCACATGCCTTGTCAAGGAATCACCTATAACTATAACCTCCTTATCATCCACATCCTTCTCTGACCCTTTTGTTTTCCTTCCTTCCAATAGTTCCTCATCTGCAGAAGCCAAAGGAGAAGTGATCTACAAATAGCTATTAGGCTTAGTGAAATCAAATTAGTTTCTGTTCACTAGTAGATAATGAGTAGGGATTTTAAAGTTTTGGGTTATATAATATCTTGCTTAGGTGATTTAGGCTACTGTTTAAAGTTTAAACCATATTTAGCAACAAAAAAAGTCAAAGTTTAATTATTACTTACTTTCCCAAAACAAGTTATGTAAGCAAATAAGACCAAAATATTCAGAACTGTGACTATGTTAAAATAATCTATGTTACTTCATATAGTAAAAGCAACTTCAAGTGGTAAATTATTCAACTGTGGAATGAGAAACTGAGTTGTACAGTTTACTTATTTGCATATCTCCAATACAATATCAGTAAAGAACAATGTTAGAAATCAGATAATTATGAAGAAACTTGCAGGTAAGTGTTAGAATATTGAAGTTTCCACATGTTTGGTGAAAAATGAACAACCTTATTTTCCTAAGTATTGCATGTATAATCATATGTTGATACTTAATATACAAGAAAACTGCTTACTGGAGGAAGAATTCTAAAAGTGGGCAAAAAACCATATAAAAAACTATGACCATTGTATATGATAAGAGTAGAGCCAATCTTAAGACTCATCTCCAATTTCTTAACTCATTCACTAAACATGTAAAGGTCCTTTAGGATAATAGAAGCATTCTCAAGATCAAGGTCCTTTAGAATAACAGAAGCATTCTCAAGATCAAGGTCCTTTAGGATAATAGAAGCATTCTCAAGATCAAGGTCCTTTAGGATAACAGAAGAATTCTTAAGATCAAGGTCCTTTAGGATAACAGAAGCATTCTCAAGAGAACTTCTATGAAGCAAGTCTTCCCAGCATTTTTGTATTGTAAACAAATTTAAAAATATTATTGTCCATGAAATTTTCAATCACTAACATGCTTATATAATGAACAACAAAGTTCCTAAAACCGACCACAGCCACAAAAGCATCCATTTATCACCATTTCAACTTACTAGATAATTAAGGACCATAATTAGAAATTCAGTGTTATGGTAACTTGAAGATGTCCTACTACTACAGGTTGAAACATTTGATTATATATATATATATATATAATTCCTAGTTAAAAAGCTACATATAATCATAACTAATTACTTTCTTCTGATGCATCTTCATTATCAAAGGCCTTCCAAATGAAGTTTGTTACAACAGACAAAATTAAGTGATTCTTTCATCCAAAAAGACAAAAACCCTATGAAAAAATAAAATAAAAAACTGAACAAATTGATAATTCAAGAAATGTTTTTCTACAACTATAATGGCAATCACCAAATGTTTTATCTAAATTATTATTTTCAAACAACATATTTTAACACCTAGCTAATATAATAACATAAGCCAACCTAATTGGCAAGTATCTTCTTAGATCCTTTAATTATAAAAAAAAATAAATAAAATAAATAAGGAAGACACTGACATTGTGACAATCTTCCAGTCATCAGTAATTTTCTAAACATCAAGAGATTTCTGAAAACTAACAGTAAGTTGTGAGTAACACTAATACTACTACTAGCACAGGTAAAATAAAAAACAAACAAGTATTACTAGATATAGTGAATAGACTGAGAATGTAATATTACTATTAAAAATATAATACTTAGTAGGTCTAATACTAATGTTTAATGACAAATAAATTAGATATTATTGTTACCAAAATATTGTTTAGCATTTCAGCAACATTAAAATTTGTCCAGTTTCTCTCTCGTAAATTACAACACATGATCAATAACTAAAACAGTACGATACTACTTTTAGTACGAAACAGAGCCACGGGCATAAGGGGAAATATGTAGAAGCAACATATCCTAAACGAGAAATGAAGCTTATAGTTATACTTTTATTTTGCTGTAATTATTAAATATATATATATTTAAAAAAGTAATATTTGTGTGAGAATATATAAGAATATTAAACTTAATGTAATCTAAATCATATTATTATTTAACGTGTCAATAGAATTTCAAGTACAAAGAGTGTTTATAATAATAGCATTTCAACTAAACCTTGCTTGTTGTATTTGACGGCCGACAAGGTTTTCCCCTTAGTGATGTTTAATACTAGCTGAATTATCCGTTCCCTGCATGTGTCTAAATTACTTCAAATAGGAATTTAAAAACACAATGAAATTACTTTTAAGAACATTTATTTCAAAAATTCAATTTTCACAACATCCCTCGCAAAGGGAAAATGACGTAATGAAATTTATATAAGGAATGTTTTTTACTTTTTATAATGATTACT